GCCTTAATTCCAGGCGAAAGGAGCTTTATGGAGGAATTTGTCGGCGAAAGAGCCTCGCTCTGGAGCAGCCAGGTGGGGTGCAGAGACCGAGGGGTGGGGGAGAGGGGGGTGGGGGGAAAAGGCACGAACCCCCGACCCAGACCTACCTTCCCGATTTGGTAATCACCATCTCCGTGCCTCTTTTATGGAATTGTTCCCAAAGCTCTTTGGCTTCCAGATGCACTTTCGGGTCATCTTCCACCTCTTCTTCTGGCTCCAGAGTTTTTAAAGGCCTCAGATGGGCTGCTGCCTGGTGACCCAGGGAAGAAAAGGGGATACCAGTCTCTGCAGCCCCCACTAACTGATCCATGATGGGTTTAGCCAGAGCCCCGGGAAGGGAGAGGGCGGCCGCCCCGTTGGGAGGCAAAGCCAGAGCCGGGAAGAAGGGAGGCTGATGTCCCAACACGGCGCTCATGGCAAAGTCCGGTGCCCGGTGAGGTAAAAAAGGATGATAAGCCATGCTTGTCCCAGGGATTACTGGATCTCTCATCGGTATATTCATCCACTCCACTCCTCGGTCTTCCTACTGCTGGAGTAGTCCCGGAGTGGTTTCTAACAGCACATCATGAAGAAGAAAAATTAAAATAATAACAATAACAGCAATAAAGCACCAAAAAATAGGGTGGGGGGGAAACAAGCTCTAGACAGCACAGTACATGGGGGAGAGGCAGAACTTCTACAGCCTACAACTTCCCAAGCCGGGGCACATCCCCAGCCTTCGGGACAGCGGATTAACACGATTGTTCATTATTAGTCTTGCTTTTTTTGTGTTCGGTCTCTGCAGGTTTGGTTTTGGTTTTTTTTTTCCTGAGTGGAAGTCCTTGCGCTGGAAAAGAAACGCCGAAGAAGGGGAAAAAAAAAAAAATCCACCGGGTTCGCTGTCTGCTCCTGTTGCCGCAGAAGGGCTGGACAAGCCGAGATCCTTTTTTTTCTTCTTCTTCTTTTTTCTCTTAGTCTCACAATCCCCCTTCTTCTTTCGTGGCGGAGGGTGACGGCTCGAAGCTGGGTTTTCTTTTTGGGTGGCTGGCTTT